TGTGGGTTGGCACACAAGAGACTAGGGCATGGGAAGTCATAGACTTGGTATTAGAGATAGAAACAGAATATACGCGGCGGCGATGGGAGCTAGTGGGCTGACAGTAGTTTTTATAAGACTTGGTCCATGTGGCAAAGGCCTGACCATGAGACATACTCAGGCTTGAGCCTCGAATCAGTCACCCAGACGCAGGGTAGGGCCAATAACGCCTCGGGTGGCACAGATGAGGTGGCAGGGGTCTAGTATGTAAAATATGTGAAACAGGGAGAGGGCAGACGGATCTAACGGGGCAAGAGAGAGACTGTGGTAAGAAGACCTAGGGAAGGAGGGCTGATTAACAATATAGCAAACTCTGATCAACATTCCTAGCACAAGGATAAAGGGCAATGAGAAGGCCAGCGTGGAGTGAGAAGGGTTCTCATGAAAGCCTCTACAAAATAGCACACCGTACCACATTTAATTAAGCAAGTAAAATATTGTGACAGTGAAGGCGTGATTGGAGGATATATGAAATGTGAATAGGCCAGGGCATAATGGGAGATACCATAACTGTTTAGCCCACGTTTGGTAAAAGGATCGGCTTTACTTGTCTCTTTGACGAGTTGTAATATGGTGCTACAAATGGTAAGACTCACTGACGATGCCGGGAAACGTCTGGCAATTCACTACGTCCACGGTCCGACTTTGGAAATAATTATGCATACAATTGACTCAGGACAAGGTGCTTTCCTGCAAGTCTTCCTACCAATATGACCAAGTTGCGAAAACAAGGTCAAACAACTTTTATCAAATGATTGTTGGAAAAACGTCTTCTCTTTATATGGGAAAGAGACTTTAATTTGATATTAGAAACTTCGCTCAATCAGCCTCGTTCATAGACGTCGTTGGAATCCATAGATGAAGTCTTGCTATCGATACATTTAAATGCCATTTAGGGAAGCAGCCTTAAAAATTCATTATGCACTGAATATTTCAAGCATGGCTAGGATAGTTTACATCGTATTTGATGTCGGTTTAAAAAATCATCTTTAATAGAAAATGTTATATACAAATATATGCTGCATGTTAGAAAGAATAGCCCAAGGAATTATAATTAATGAGATAAAATTGCACACCGAATACAATATTCTTGCAGCTTGGACCGATTCAAGCACTCTGCTAGGAGTTGAAGAGACGCTTGACTTGCAGACACTTCTGTTATTGAAGTGACAATAGAGGGACTTCGCGGGATCGAGGGTCCAATATCATCAGAGATGGATAGTGATGTGGCTACTGAAACAGATGGTTGTGTGGAACCGACACTCAGAGGACCTGCCAGGACTAGTGGCTGTGAGTGACCAGTGGGAGTATTTGAAGGGAGTGGTACTTCTAGTAGGTCGGCGGCTAGCTCAAGAGCTTTGGGCAGGTTTCCAAACTGGGCTGGCATCAGTATGCTCATGTAATCCTGAGCTAGACAGTGGGATTCTGTCGTTGATGCAGTCGTAGCAGCGTTTAACACCGTTGTTCCATCAAAAGACCCTAGCCCCGAGGCAGGGCAGACAGCAGCACCTGGTGGGGCTTTGATACCAGAAAAAGGAATGAAAGCCGGGGTGAGTGTCTTTGGGGAAGCCTGATAAGGCAAACTTAGACTAGAGTCAGACAGGTGAGCATTTTCAGGCTGACCTGCCAACCGGTACCACCATGCAGTAGCTAGGTAGTCAGGCGTCTGCATTGCCTCATATAAGGCTATTAGAGAGAGCGAAGCGGCTCCAAGGGGAATGTCGGCAGGATTTAGAGGCGGCAAAACTTGTTTGGAAGAGGCAGATATTTCGTAGACAGAAGAGGGGATCACGGAGTAAACAAAATCATTTAGCAGTGGGCAGTTAGAAAGGGACGAATCGGTGTAGGAACCTTGTGTGCAAGAAGAGAGATAGGTCCTTTGCGCCTGGCTACACAAAGCTTCAAGGAAAAGCGCAGTGAAGTGCCAGTTGTTGTAGTTTGTACCAATATACTGGAATAGAAAGATTAAATAATGCAGAAAATCACATGAACAGTATATGTATTATCAAAGGACTTAATAATATCCTAATATGAAAAATTTGTC